TTTATTTTAAAAAGTTCAGAAGGCAAAATATTTTATAAAATATAAAATATGAAATATTTTGTCCTCAACAATGCTGCCCCCCCCAAGGATCGTTACGGAAGGCTGCCCCCCCAGCTCCCTCGCCATCCTATGGCTGCTCCTGCTCAGCAGGAAGGGGAACCGGGCTTCCAGCCAGATTGGGCATTGCGAGGAAATGGACGGAAAAAAGTAAGGCCGGTGTTTGAGAGCTCAATGTTGTTTATTTTTCATGCATACTTTGCCTGTCCCAAAAGTACACAAAAAGAAACTACCCCTAAAGTATTAAACTATTCTCCCTGCCCCATCCACATCCTAATATTAAATCCTGAAGCCAATACTAACACGGGTTCTTGTAACTCCTCTGCAAGTGCTCAGATTTTGAGGCGTTTCAATGGAAAGTGCATCTTGCAGGAAGTGCATGGAGCCATCAGAAGTGGTCAAGGTGAACTTCCATGTTGGTGGCCGTCCAGTCCAATTGCTGCAGCACTGTAGGTTGGCGTTTGGCCTCTCGCGCCCCAGGGCAAAAGTAGAGGCCTCACTCCTACAGCTTTTGGCTCCCGCACACCCTCGCGTCCTGGGTCTGAATTCCCAGCTGAATAAAGCGAACAGGCATCTTCCTCTGTGCTGAATGTTGCCTGGGCTTGCTTAAAAATAAGAGCTGGATTTCTTTCCAAGGCAGCTGGCGGGACTCTTGCAGGACCATCGGCAATTGAAGAAATATATCTTCTTGGTGAGTGTTCACTCATCTTTTTTTAAACATCTAAAAGATATTTGAAAAATACTCTCTCATCACTAGAGGTATAAGCCATTTAAAATAACCCAGTTAAAACACATGCAAAAGGTTACTGGAAGAAGTGCAGATTGTAATCCAAACTACTATCCCCTCTCTTACCCAACTGTAGAATTCACACAATGTTTGGGTTGCCCAGACCTGCATTAGACGACTGAAGTCTCCATATCATGGTCAACTGTAGTTGTCTTGCTTCTGTCCTGGGAACAGACTGGTGAGGAGGGTTCACTAAAAGCCCCCTCAAAAATCTCTTGTACCGTCTGGCGGACCTTTTCCCTGAAATTTTGTCCCACAAAGACATAAAGAAGAGGATTAATGCAGCTGTTGGCATATGCAAGCGCGATGAACACGCTGTCCCACAAAAGCAGGGCCTGGTGAAATGGTGTTTGAGGGGGAGCCAGGAGGAACAGCACCCCACTGAGGTGGTAGGGAGCCCAACAGAGAAAGAAAGTGGCAACCACCAGCAGAATCACCTGCATAGCTTTCCTGCGAGGCCCCACAAGGCGTTTTTTGAACATCATCTGCCCAATCAGAGTATAGCAAGTGGTCATGACTGCAAAAGGAAGCAGAAAACCAAACAGAGTTCTGGTGATGGTGATGGATACAAGGACACTGGGGAGTTGGGTTTTAGGGAAATCATCATGGAAGTTCATTTCCATTGTATGATTACTAGCAGATTGATCATCTAATTGAAAAATACTGGCTGTAGGTGTACTCAGACGGATTCTGGGAAACTTGTAGAGACCAGAAGGAGGGTGGGTAACAACCGTCATCAATAAATCTCTCTCTCTCTCGATTCCATAATGATGTGATACGCCCAAAGGCAAAGCTGTATTTCTTTTGGTTGAATTTACAATGGCATAGGCAGGGCGTGGATCCAGAATCCCACTGGTGAAAATACCCTCATAGATGCCTTCAGCTGCCAGGGTGGGATGTTCAGTGGGCATCATCTCTATGGTCAACAGATCATCCAACCACTCATACTCATCATGTTTCCCCATATTCCAATTGTTGACACACTTGATATTGCCAAATTCATCTTCCAACGTCTCCCGGTAGAAGAAGGCAGGACAACACATAATGAAGGCGAGGATCCAGATGCCACTGCAGATCATGGTTGCAAACCTTACTGTGCGGTGATTCTGACACCAGACGGGTTTCATCACCAGGAGACACCTGTCAATACTGATGGCGGTGAGGAGGAAGACACTGGCAAACATGTTCAGAATAATGGCTGAGGGGATAATCTTACAGAAAAACCAGCCAAAAGGCCAATACTCATGGAGGGCCAGATGAGCAATGGAGAAAGGCAGAGAGAGGCAACAGACAAGGTCAGCAATTGCCAGGTGGAGGAACCAAACTGTGTTCACCGTTTGCGTCATCTTCAGGACAATAACCCAAATGACCAGGCTGTTTCCAGAAAAGCCCAAGAGGAAGGTGATGGAGAAGATGATCAGAGAGCTGACAGAAGTGGAAGGTAACAGGAAAGGGTCACTGTTTTCATTTAAACTCTCATTCCCTGGCAATGGAGCCATCTTCTTTTTAAAAAAGAAACCTAAAAAAAATTTGAATTATTATTCCAAAGTTTCTTGGACTGCAGGTAAATGTGGGATATTACAGATGCTGCCTTCCCCAGTTCTCAGATGGGCCTTTGGCAAGCTACATTACATGGGGGAGATGCTCTTGGGCTGGTTCTGGACAAGTCCGTCCTTTGAGGACGAGGCTCCTGCAGCTCCTCTTGTCCATCAGAGAGAGATGCCCTTGCCCATCAGTCCAGACGATGGCAACTGGCTGAGGGGATTTTTACTTTGTTTTCCAACCAGAAGATTTACGCCATTAGCTAGGTGGCTCCATTTGTAAGTGCCAAGAATATTAGAACAGGTTTTATCAACCTCTGCAGGAGATTGTTTTAATTAATCAAGAAACTCTATGTTGGTCCTGATTAGAACTAGAATATTCAATTATTTTTTAACTGTAAAAACCTATGGCTCTATACCCAGCAGTGGTGAGATATATTTCAAGGTGGCAGAGACCGAACTATTGGGAGGTTCTCCTGCACAGTCTGCAACTGCAGAAGCTTCCTTAATGTTCCAGTCTGTAAATCCCACAACTTTTTGCCACCAACCAGGCTCTCTGGACCTGATGGCTCCCAAACCTCCTTTTGTAGCCTAAGGCTGCAAGATTGGACTGTGGAAAATCCCTGAATATGGACAGCATGCTATTTTCCAGGATCTGGCCATATAAATCAGGAGGATTAACCAGACTGCTCTGATAAGTGCCTAAAACAACCATCCTCCAACTTGAGAAAGGGGAGGGGGTGGCGGCAGGGGGAGAGGGAGCTCAGCTGTAACTTGGCGCAGTGTCATTGCTGATCATCTCAGACAGTTAAAAGACAAGAAAAGGCATCTCCCAGCCACAAGCAGCTGCTTGCCCTTGGATTAAAGTGGCATCTTTTGTTGGAAGTGTGATAGTGAAAACACTTCAAATTAGTCGACATAATGGCCTGCTTCAAATGTGCCCTTTCTTTCTGCAAAAGCATTCCTCGTCCTTCCTTTAAGGCTCTACAGAGCTCTTCCATTTTTGCTTCTGTGCCTGGGTGGTCTGGAGACAAAGGGTGGAAGAGGCCAAGAGGGAGCACTGGCTTCCGAATGTTAAAGCAAAAGCGGAAGGGAGGGGTTGGTTCCCTCTCCGGGTCTGCGGGGAGGCAAGCAAGTGACCAAGGCTGGTCAGTGGAGCAGGCCCGCCTTTTGTTCCGGCTCTTCTCAGCCGGGCCCTGCCTGTCTTGCAGGTCGTAGGCAACTCTTTGGTCCGAACGGGAAGAGCAGCTTAACTTAGCTGCCGCTTGAAAGTAAAGGCAGAGCTGAACCTTGCTGTGGTGTACCTGGCCTAGAGAGAGATTTCATTATCCTGTGCCTAGCTTCCCAATGGATTCCTGCCTGCTGCGAAAGGCGGGGCAGCAGCCCCCCGTCCCCTCCTGGTCCCTTTTCTGGCCCCACGAGCACCCTCTCCTTGCCCACTTAGACCCCTGTCCGGGGCCCTACCTTTGCTCCGCGGATGGGGCTGCACGGTGGCCACTGACCGCCGCCGCCGGGTGCTCCGTCCCTTCTGGTCCGAAGGAGGAAAGGAGCGAGAGAAGAGGGGAAACCAGCCCCAAAGAGGAAATTGCGGCTTGCCTCCAAAAGCACTTTTGAAGCAGGAGCCGATCTGCCAGTTCTGCTTTTTCCGCACCGCGAAGGCTGAGCAGCGGGAGAGGCAGAGCCCCCGGCAGGCGGCAGTTCAGCGCCCCGGGCAAGAGAGGCTCCCGGGCGCTGGCCCCGAGCCGCAGCGCACCTTCGCGGCGGTTGGGGGCAGGAACCCGCGCGGACCCTTGCTCGGAGCAAAAGCGCCGAGCTCCCCCGGCTGCC